TGGAGTCAGCAGCTCTGAGCAGGGGCCCTGCCCCACAACCCCTGTCAGTCACCAGGTTCCAGAAAGGCTGACAGGTAGGAAGACCCAGGACAGGGCAGGACAGAATATGGAGGTACAAAGGGGTCAACATGCAGAAAGGCACCCTGAAGAGATAAGGAGAGGCACAGAAGTGCCAGGATGAGACAAAGGGAAGCACAGACTGGGGGAGATAGAGAGAGGAAGACACGGACATACTGAAAAGAGAGACAGAAAAAAGACACAAACAGGCAGAGACTGAGAGAAGAGAGAGACGGGAAGAGACAGAAAGAGGAGCGAGAGAGATGAACACAGAAACACAGAGACCGAGAGTGAGGGAGGCTGGGTGCGCTGGTTCACACCCATACTCCCAGCACTTTGGGAGACCAAGGCAGAAAGATTGCTTGAGCCCAGGAGTTGGAGACCAGCCTGGGCAACACAATGAGATCCTGTCTCCTCAAAAAATACAAAAATTGGCCGGACGTGGTGGTGTGCACCTGTGGTCCCAGCTACTCGGGAGTCTGAGGTGGGAGGCTTGTTTGATCCCAAGAGGTAGAGGCTACAGTGAGCCATGACTGTATCATGGACTCCAGCCTGGGGGACAGAAGCCAGACTCTGAGAGAGAAAGAAAAGAGGGAAGGGAAAGGGAGGGGAGGGGGGGAGGGGGAGAGCAAGTGAGACTGAGATGAAACAGAGATACACAAGAGAGACCCTCCCAGAGACAATGCCAGTCCTAGGCTCTGCACAGTCCCCCCACCTCCCCAGGTCTGGGCCCTGTGCCAGGCACTCGGAGGAAGGCTGGATTTGGCCAAGCAGGGGCAGGCAGGAGGGTGGACCACATTCCTGAACAGTCTGTTCCAAATACAGCCCCAACCTCACCGCTCCCACCACCCCAGCCCTGGCCCATCCAGGCCTGAGTCTGCCCCCTCTTGGGGAACAAGCGTAGCACACAGGGTCCCAAGAACAATGGAAGTGACAAGGGCTCAGGTGTGAGCTCCTAGGAATCACAGGCACAGAGCACAGGAGTGTCAGGGATGTCTTTAGAAGTCTATTTGAGCCAGGCGCAGTGGCCTGTAATCCCGACACTTCAGGAGACCAAGGCAGGCGGATCACCTGAGGTCAGGAGTTTGAGATCTGCCTGGCCAACATGGTGAAACTCCGTCTCTACTAAAAATACAAAAATTAGCCGGGCCTGGTGGTGCATGTCTGTAATCCCAAGTACTTGGGAGGCTGAGGCAGGAGAATCTTGAACCTGGGAGGTGGAGGTTGCAGTGAGTCAAGATCGCACCGCTGCACTCCAGCCTGGGCAACAAGAGTGAAACTCTAAGGAAAAAAAAAAAAAAAATAGAAGAAGAAGAAGTGTATTTGAGAGTCAGTGTGTATTTAGGAATCAGAGGTCCAGGGTACAGCATTCAGGGGGCCCAGAGGTGGCCTGGAGATTGAGGAATACACACCTGCAGGCCGAGTAAATTGGACTCAAAGGTGCTAGGGGCTCAGGAGGCTGCACCTGCTGGCCAGGTGTGTTGACATGAAAATGCTAGTGCACGAAAGTTGCTAAGTAGGGCAGGCTGAGGCAGGCACACACAAAAAAAGCCAGGGGGAGCCAGGGCACAGTTCCACTAGGGCTGGGGGCCGGGGGGGAGCCAGGGCACAGTTCCACTAGGGCTGGGGGCAGGGTGGGGGGAGCCAGGGCACAGTTCCACTAAGGCTGGAGGCAGGGTGGTGGCGTCTGGTTGGGGAATCCACGGAATGAACAGCCCAGAGACGCCCACTCCTCCCACGTCGGGTCTCCGCCCCTGCTCCACCCAAGACCTTTTGGAAATCAAATAGAGGTCCAGGCGTGGAGAACTGCAGGCATGATGATCACGGGTATCGCAGCGCTGCTGTTGTGGCTTCTGGTACTGGCGCTGGCGCTGGCGCAGTGGGGGTAGGGTGGGTGCCGCGCTCAGATGCGGGGGGTCCCTACCTCCCCGGCCCAGGCCATTCCCATTGCTATGGAACTTGCAGCTGCAGTCCGGAGGCACGGACCACGCACTCCATTCCCTACAGGAATGGGGGAACGGAATTTTGGATCCGTGGAGGTGGCGCTGGGGACTAGAACTCCTCCTGAATGAAGACAGCTAAGGGCTTGTACTCTAAGACCCTGAGGAAGGACAGGAAGGATGAGTGCTCAGGACTCCTGAGTTCTAGGAAAGGAGACTAGGGAGTGGACAGCTTGGGGTCGGGACACTGGGTAGTAAGGAAGGAGCCCAGAGCAGGAAATCAGGTTGTGGAAAGAGGGGAGCAGAGGGTCTGTTCTCCTGGTTCAAGGTGGGGAGGCTGAGTACTGAGGGCCCAAAAGCCCGACTCTGAGGGTGCAGGAGGCTGGGAAGCTGGACTTCTAGGTCCCAAGGGAAGAAGAAAGTGGGGGCCTGGACTCCTGGATCGCAGGGAGGAAGGAGCTGGGAATCTGAACTCCTGGGCCTGAAGAATGAGGGCCCGAGACGAGGACTCCTGAGTCTGAAGGAAGAGAGAGCTGGGGGCGAGGGCTCCGATGAGAAACCCGATGGGCACCAGCTGAGCACCGGCTCCCTGTAGCTCTCCGGCCGCTGGGGCCCGGTGTTCACAGTGCAGCTGGGCCCGCGCCCTGCCGTGGTGCTGTGCGGCTACGCAGCGCTGCGGGACGCGTTAGTGCTACAGGCGGATGCCTTCTCCGGCCGCGGGTCCATGGCAGTCTTCGAACGCTTCACACGCGGACACGGTGAGGCCCGGGCGCTGGCCGTGCCCGCCTGCACACCTCAGGCTAGGCCCGTAAACGGTAGAGGCGGGCAAATGGGGGCGGGGCCTAATAGAGACTCCAGCTAATGAGGTGCAAACGGCCGAGAGAGGGCGCGGCGGCGCTAAAGCGTAAGGTTCGAATCGAGGTTCATCCTGCAGCCAAGAGGAGAGAAGAGCCTAAGAGTCAAAGCCCGAGAGCCAGCCTAGGTCAGCAATCGAGCCCAGCAAACGCGGGGCCAATGTGTGGATAGGGCACTTAGAGGTCCGGTAAAGAAGCAAAGCGCAGGAAGTCGGCCGCAGGAGTCGGAGGCCCCGAAAGGGATGTAGCCAGCGACCTGGCGCTTCCTGGATGGGGCGTGGCCAACTCCCGGGCCCGCCTCCTTTCCTGTCCCTACCACAGGAATCCCCTTTTCTAACGGGCCGCGCTGGTGGACACTGCGCAATTTTGCACTTGGAGCGCTGAAGGAGTTGGGGTTAGGTACACGGACCATCCAGGCGCATGTCCTGGAGGCAGCGTCTTGTCTGCTAGACGAAATGCAAGCCACCATTGGTGCGGCCTGGCTGGGAGGGCAGAAGGGCCTGGTGTGGGAGTGGCCCTCGGACTGCCAAGATGAGGCCACGGGAAGGTATTTGGGTGGAAGGAAGCCAGTAAGCCCATGGGGCTGGCTGGGGGCAGGACCACGCATTATGACCACTGTCCTGTTCCTACCCCCAGGAGCCCCGTTTGACCCCGTGCGACTACTGGATAATGCTGTATCCAATGTTATCTGTTCTTGTCTTCGGGAACCGCTATGGCTACGGGGACCCGGAGTTCCTGAGGCTCCTGAACCTCTTCAGTGACATCTTCCGCATCATGAGCTCCAGATGGGGCGAGGTGAGAGGGCCGGCCACAGTCTCTCCCTTGTGCGTCCAGCCTTATGCCAAATCCCGAGTACACAGACCTACCTACAGTGGATCATTAGAATGGGACAGTTAGATTCTTGGAAGAGTTCTAGAACCTCCAATATCAATGTCCTGGTCCAATCTCCCTGAAGGGAAACTAAGACCTAGTGGCCTTGTCCAGGGCCCTTGTTGAGACCCTGTCTCTCCAGATGTACATTTCCCCGTCCCTCATGGACTGGCTGTCAGGCCGGCACCGCCGAATCTTCCGAAACTTTTCGGAGCTGTGGGTCTTCATCTCTGAGCAAATCCAGCAACACTGGCAGATGCGGCAGCCGGCGGAGCCCCGCGATTTCATCGATTGCTTGACCAGATGGGTAAGACGTGGTTCCCAGCTCCCTAAACTCTATCCTTGCCTCCCACCAACAGGTGCCTGGCACGCGGCAGCGCGTCTCCTCTGCCCACAGTAACAGCAGGACCCAGAGAGCCACTTCCAGGAGGAGACGTCAGTAATGATGACACACCTTTCTTTTGGTGGCACCGAAACGAGCACCACCCTGTGCTATGGACTCCTCGTTCTGCTTAAGTACCCAGAGGTGGCAGGTCTGCGAGCTGGAGACCCAGAATGGGAGGCTGCGGCCTGGGGATGGCTGGAGGGTCCTGGAAGTGCGCAGCTCACACCCTACCCCGGCCCCAGCCAAGGTGCAGGAGCTGGACCCTGTAGTAGGGTGGAGGCGCGCCCCAAGCCCGGACGACCACCAGCGACTGCCCTACACCAATGCAGTGCTGCTCCAGATCCAGCGCTTCATCAGCGTGGTGCCGCTGGGGCTACCGCGCTCACCCTCAACACCCACTTGCACAGCCACTGTCTGCCCAAAGGTGCCCACTGAGTTTGGGAATCCTGTGCGGGGCCCGGGTGCATGAGGTGTATTCCGAGATCAGCCAAAATCGGTGGGTGTGCGCTGTGCAAACTGAAGCACAATCAGTTACTCCTGGAGCAGGATAGCAGGCCTGCCTTCCCTTCGGTTTTTGTTTTTTGATTTTATTTTTTTTTTTTTGAGACAGTCTCACCTTATTGCTCAGGCTGGAGTGCAATGGCATGATCTCGACTCACTGCAACCTCCGCCTCCTGGGTTCAAGCAATTCTCCTGCTTCAGCCTCCTAAATACCTGGTATTACAGGCACCTGCCACCACACCTGGCTAATTTTTGTGGTTTTAGCAGAGACAGGTTTCGCCGTGTTGGCCAGGCTGGTCTCCAACTTCTTGACCTCAAGTGATCCATGCTCCTCAGCCTCCCAGAGTGCTGGGATTACAGGCGTGAGCTACCTGCCTGGCCTATTCCCTTGGGCTTTTAAAAAGGGCCTTGGATGGAGGAGGTGCACGTGCTCACCAAGCCCACAGGTAAACCTAGTTGCATGTGCCCCCAGGGCACCTTTGTGATTCCCCTGCTTGTGACTGCACACTGACCCCACTCAATTCAAAGACCCAGAATGCTTCAACCCTACCAACTTCCTGGACAATGCTACCAACTTCCTGGACAAGGGCAAGTTCCAGGGCAATGACCCTTTCATGCCCTTTGCCTCAGGTGCGGGCAGGGGAGGAAGGGGACCAGCTCTGGGGTGCATGGTGCTCACTATGCACCCGTGTACCTGGGAAAGCAGATGTGCCTGGGTGCAGGCCTGGCCCACTTGGAGATCTTCCTATTCCTTACAGCCACCCTACAGAGGTTCCGCCTGCTCTCTGTGGTAAACCCTGGCACCATCAACCTCACCTGCAGTTCACTGGCCTGGGCAGTGTCCCCCCAGCCTTCCAGCTCCAGCTAGTGGCCTGCTGAGGTCAGGTTCCACTGTAGTGGGCTCACTGGCCCTCAAACCTCCACACCCTCCTTGGTCAATAAAGGCCCTAAATTGCAGATGGAGTCAGATGTGTGCAGCTCTGAGGTAAACTTTTATTTCTTGGCTGACAGGACTTCCACACCCATGCTCCTCCTGGCACCTTTTACTCTGCCCACGCAGTGGCAGCCCAGTCCCAAAAGGTGCCTGCCATGGCCAAAGGGGTTGGGGAGTCACTTCACATTCCAGGCTGGAGGAGTGAGAAGGTTTGGGGGTACTCCTCCCACCCCATTGCCAGCAAGAGGCCATGACTCACCTCAACCCCAAGTCCTGCATCCTGGTGGGAAGTGACAATGCCTCCTCCCAGCTCTCCACACCTAATGGGGTCATGACCAGACAGGGTAGGACCCAGGCCCCAGCTTCAGTTGGTAATGGTTGCCTCCAAGGCTGCCCCCTGTCCAGGTCACAACCCCAGCCCCCATCATGGGGCAGCAAAGGTCTCTTCTCCTCCTTGGTCCTCAGCAACAGACAGAGCCCTCCACGCCAGGCAGGACAGAGGCAAAGTCAGAAGCAGCAGCGGTGGCAGGGAAGGAGCAGCCAATACAGGCCCAGGGCTCTCCTGAAGTCAGGGCAAGCTGTCTGCCATGCGGCTCTGGGACTGGCCACTAGGTGGGCGTAGGCGGCTGTGATACAGGTACTTGGACACCTTTCTGTCCTGATGCTGGGGGTGAGAGGTGAGAGGGGACAGGAGACAGTGAGTCATCAAGAGAGGGACAAAAAAGCCAAGGGAAACCTGGGGAAATGGGGAGAGGACCAGGAAGAAATGGGGCTCCTGTTGGGGTACCAGAAGAGTGGACTGTCTAAGGAAGGTGGGCAGAGATGAAGAAAAATGAGTGGTGAGATTTAACAAGAGGCTGATGAGGGGGATGGGGTGGCGTGAGGCCCAACAGGGCCCACAGAATAGGAAGGACTGGAGGGAGGGGAGCAGGTACCTAGCTGATACTTGTCTTTGGCTGCTGCCCGCTCCTTGGCATCAAAATACCAGACAGTGATGGCGTACCTGGGGACCAGGATGGTTGGACATCAGTTTTCTGCAATTCCAGCTACCATATCCACACATGCTAGGAGGCCATCCTTTTCAGCCACCCGGTTCTGCTCCCACCTAGGCCCCCTCTCAGTACTTGGTCGCTCCCTAGTCACTCTGAGGCTCTGACAGGACATTGTCACAGGGGGAGCACCTGGGTGCATCCCCAGAAGTACAGGTCATACCTGGTGGCATAGGCTGGCTTCACCTCGTGGGGGTTCCGCCGGTCAGACCAGAAAATGAGCAACCGGTCAAAGAGTGGTTCGATGTTGGCTACCACCGGCCGGCCCTCAGGGAAGATCTGCAGCAGGCCACCATGCACCTGGGGGCAGGCCAGAGGATGAGGTTGGCCGGTCCAGCCAGGAGCCGCTGCCTCCCACAGCACCTGGGAGCCCACTAGGGGGCGCAGCGTCCGCCCGCATCACTCCCTCCCACCCCTCGGGCTCTCAAAATGAATGACAACCCAGAGTCTGCATCACCATGGAGATGGGCAGGAAGCTACTAAAGACAGGAAAAGGGGGAAAGTGTTCATTACAAGGCCGGGTGGGGCTGGGCAGACAGCACCATTCCCGGAAAGAGGGGAGTTCCCATCACACAGCCAGATAGAGAGGAGGAGGTGCCATTTCCCAGGAAGAGCCAGCAGATTGCACCCCTGGCTGTGTGCTGAGAAGAGGAACAGGAGAATGCCAGAATCTGGGCTGAGAGTGGAAAATGGAGTGGATGCACGCCCCATCTACCCCGGCTCCAGCCCCACCTGCCCCGGCCCCAGCCCTAGCCCTGACCCCAGCCCTAGCCCTGACCCCAGCCCCACCCTCGCCCTCACCCCTACCTTAACGTCCCAGTTCTGATTCAGGTAATAGATACAGGTGATGCAGCGCCCATCGCCGTGGGGATTGTCAACGTGCCTTACGTACCCGAGCCCGTTGCCTGGGTAACACGCCACCATGGCCTGGCAGGAATGGAGGGAGGTAGGTTTACTGGGGCTGGGCAGGCACATCTTAGAGAAGCAGCCATGAATTACCTATTTTCCCACCCCTTCTTGCCCTGTATTCCTTGGGTCAAGGGTTCCAAGTGCCTGCCCCAAAATAATTTCTCCATTTTCAGCCAAAATCCCATCTCCAAGTCCATCAGAAACCTCAACTCCTGGGCCTCAAGAGCCCACTCCCTTCCACACACATACCTGGGGCCTGGCACCCAGCTAGGGCTCAATTAGTAACAGACGGTTTGTTTCAAGATATCCCAAACCCTACCTCAGCTATTTCAGAATAATATCAATTTAAACATTTTCAGGTGTGCAAGGAGGTGGCCTCACAGCCCTAGACCAGGAATTCTTACCCTTGGCTGTGGAGTGGAACCCCCTGGGGAGCTCTGAGGCTCTGATGTACCTGGTCTAAGGAAGGGCCTGAAATTGGTAAAGGTTCCCAGGTAATTCTACCATGCAGCAATGTGAGAACTGCTACCCTGGATTACAAAGAATCCCCACTAAATTATCTGTCCCATAGACATCCGAACAGGAGCCAAAACCTACAGTCTGAATAGAAAGTGAGACCTAATTCCAACGCCAAGGATAATTTGCTGGATAACCCTAGCCAGATCCATCACCTGAATGGGCCTCAACTGCCTGATGTGTACAACAGGGGTAATAAACACCTGCTCTGTTTACAGCAGTAGCAATTCATCCCTCTGAGAACATAACTTGGGAGGTTCTGGACCCACATCCCCCGGAGACCTAACAGGGCTTGGTTTCTCTGTCTACAGGGTTCTTTCCTCTGCCTGACAGTTGCCACTCCCCTGATCCAGCCCTACCATGCTGCAGCCAGGGCCCCGGGATGTTTGTCATCAGCGAGCTGGCAGAAAGGTGGCTGAGAGGTAAAGGAAATGGCCCAGCCACCTCTGCAGACCCAATTCCCTGGTTCAAGTCTCAGTGCTGCCACAGGAGCTGTGGCATCAGGCAGGTGACTTCCTGGTCTCAGGTTCCTCATCCATGGATCCAATGGAGCTGACGGCTATTTCACAGGTTGTTGTGGAACAAGTGAACAAGATAACAAGTGTCTGGGAAGACAGCCAGCACAGTGCCTGCCACATGGAGCACAGGCTGAAATGCCATTTAAAAATGTAAAAAGGTCCCTGTCTCACCCTCTGCCCAAAGTCACTGCAGTAGCAGACAAAAAGGGGAGGACTGGCACAAAGACCCTTCAGCTTCTCCCCAGCCTGGACCATCTGTCTGGACCTCTCCGCCCTGGTACAACTCTGCTGGCGTCTGCTCCCCACGAATGCTCAGCTACACCTATGGGCCCAGCCCAGCAAGACAGCCCCAAGATAAACATTCATGATCAAACATCAGTGGCTGCTGCCACAACAGGATGCTTGCCAAGCACGCACACCACGGCAGGCTGGGCTGCTTCAATCCTCACTCTCCCCAGGACGCCTCCCAACACATTATCCCAGGGCTCACCCTCTGTGGTGGATGTTAAGCTACTCTGCATTAACCATGTGCACCCTTGCCCACCAGACCTTGCCCTGGAAAGAGAGGGCTGCCACCATCTACGGCCACCTAGCAGTGGGAAGCTGACAACCTTCTCTCTGGCAGCACCAGAGTACAATTAGTGAGAAGGCCCCCAGGAAAAACCCTACACCTCAAGATTCAGGAAGGGGCACCTTCTTTGCACTGCTCACTCCCTGTAGATGGGTCGACACTCTGAGCACCCACCTCACTGGGAGAAGAATTTGGCCATGGCCCAGGAGGCTTGGAATCAGTGAGTTACTGACTAGAGATGGGCAAGGCCTCCCCAGTTAGGAATCCAATCAGAGATTACACTGATGATGCACGTGGATGGGTGACAGGGAAGGGGTCCAGTGCTGCACCCTCTTCCACCACAATCCTTCCCCACACAGCAGCCAGAGCCCCTCTTCTCCAGGTCTTCGCTGCATCCCAAGAAAATACAAATTCCCAGCCACAGCTTCAAAGGCCCCCAACCTCATGTGCCACTCCCATCACTCCGCTCCATGCCTCAACAGGCTGAGCTCATCACCACCACAAGGCCTCTGCACTGGCCTGGGACACTCTCCCTTCTGACCCTCCTTGTTATTCAGGATTCAGAGGCCAAGGGTCACCTTGAGTACTCCAGCTGATTGTCCATTCCACTCCTAGCAACATGGCATCAGCACAGGCACCTGTTTACCTAGTACTGGCCTGGAAGGCAGCCACAGCGAAGCCCCTGGGGCCACGTCAGTCTCCCCAGTGCCCAATGCAGTACCTGCTGACTGAGCGCACTGCTCTGGGCCTCCTCTGCACCCCAGCTCTGCTGTGTTCCCTCCTGTCCTGTACATTCTCACACAGCACCTCCCACCAAGCACACAGGACACATGCAGAAACAGGAACCTGCTCTCTAGGGCCCCACCCTTCCCCCACATACACACACCTTGGGGGTGAAAGCATCCTCTGGCCCCAAGGAAAGTATCTACTTCCTGCCCTCACAGGGGAAGGCCTCAGGAAACTTGCTCTCAACCCCTCCCACCTAGGGGAGGGGCAGGTGGGACCAGGGCCAGGAGACTAAAGACTTAAAGGCTATTGGTGACAATGGGTCTGCCAAGAGACCCAACACCACTACACACACCCCCCAGTCAGAAGCCTGTGACTGTCCCACCTCCAAGCTGCTCTTCCAGGAGTAAACCAAGCAAGGTGGACCCTCCCTGGGGTCCCCTCTGGTGGCCCTTGCTGCCAGTGGGAGTCAACTCTCTCCCAACTACAGGTCAACCGAGCACCTGTCCCCAGTCAAGGAGTTGGCGGAAGGTAGAACACAGGAGCTCCACTAAGAACGGACTAAGAAGCAGATTCCCACTGGCTCTAGCCCGCCACACTGGTGATCCGTGTCCCCACGGCAACTGCTGTGGCCCACCTCAGCACCCCACAGCCTTACCCTGGAGTCCAGCAGAGTCCAGATGGCGCCCTCTAAAAGCAGAAAAGCCTGGAGTTGTTTCTCACTGGGGAGGGG